AATTAACATCGTCGTCCAACGAGAAATCTGTCCAACCATCAATGTCACTCTCATTACACCCACATATGTTAACAAGCAACAAGTGGATTGGTTGAGAGTACTTACATGCATTACACAAACTAAACCATCAAAACACACACAACCTGAACAACCGAAATATAACAGGGAACACCAGTGCTCTCCATTATCATCATTCACCAAACATTCAAACACCAATATTACAACGAAAAATCATCAACACAAAATCAACCCCATATACAAAATACTCAACATTCACATACACACACAAAACAAAACATGTACAACACACACTCCTTCATCATCATGTAGACAGAACATGGAACACGACTACGCAAATTAACATCGTCGTCCAACGAGAAATCTGTCCAACCATCAATGTCACTCTCATTACACCCACATATGTTAACAAGCAACAAGTGGATTGGTTGAGAGTACTTACATGCATTACACAAACTAAACCATCAAAACACACACAACCTGAACAACGGAAATATAACAGGGAACACCAGTGCTCTCCATTATCATCATTCACCAAACATTCAAACACCAATATTACAACGAAAAATCATCAACACAAAATCAACCCCATATACAAAATACTCAACATTCACATACACACACAAAACAAAACATGTACAACACACACTCCTTCATCATCATGTAGACAGAACATGGAACACGACTACGCAAATTAACATCGTCGTCCAACGAGAAATCTGTCCAACCATCAATGTCACTCTCATTACACCCACATATGTTAACAAGCAACAAGTGGATTGGTTGAGAGTACTTACATGCATTACACAAACTAAACCATCAAAACACACACAACCTGAACAACGGAAATATAACAGGGAACACCAGTGCTCTCCATTATCATCATTCACCAAACATTCAAACACCAATATTACAACGAAAAATCATCAACACAAAATCAACCCCATATACAAAATACTCAACATTCACATACACACACAAAACAAAACATGTACAACACACACTCCTTCATCATCATGTAGACAGAACATGGAACACGACTACGCAAATTAACATCGTCGTCCAACGAGAAATCTGTCCAACCATCAATGTCACTCTCATTACACCCACATATGTTAACAAGCAACAAGTGGATTGGTTGAGAGTACTTACATGCATTACACAAACTAAACCATCAAAACACACACAACCTGAACAACGGAAATATAACAGGGAACACCAGTGCTCTCCATTATCATCATTCACCAAACATTCAAACACCAATATTACAACGAAAAATCATCAACACAAAATCAACCCCATATACAAAATACTCAACATTCACATACACACACAAAACAAAACATGTACAACACACACTCCTTCATCATCATGTAGACAGAACATGGAACACGACTACGCAAATTAACATCGTCGTCCAACGAGAAATCTGTCCAACCATCAATGTCACTCTCATTACACCCACATATGTTAACAAGCAACAAGTGGATTGGTTGAGAGTACTTACATGCATTACACAAACTAAACCATCAAAACACACACAACCTGAACAACGGAAATATAACAGGGAACACCAGTGCTCTCCATTATCATCATTCACCAAACATTCAAACACCAATATTACAACGAAAAATCATCAACACAAAATCAACCCCATATACAAAATACTCAACATTCACATACACACACAAAACAAAACATGTACAACACACACTCCTTCATCATCATGTAGACAGAACATGGAACACGACTACGCAAATTAACATCGTCGTCCAACGAGAAATCTGTCCAACCATCAATGTCACTCTCATTACACCCACATATGTTAACAAGCAACAAGTGGATTGGTTGAGAGTACTTACATGCATTACACAAACTAAACCATCAAAACACACACAACCTGAACAACGGAAATATAACAGGGAACACCAGTGCTCTCCATTATCATCATTCACCAAACATTCAAACACCAATATTACAACGAAAAATCATCAACACAAAATCAACCCCATATACAAAATACTCAACATTCACATACACACACAAAACAAAACATGTACAACACACACTCCTTCATCATCATGTAGACAGAACATGGAACACGACTACGCAAATTAACATCGTCGTCCAACGAGAAATCTGTCCAACCATCAATGTCACTCTCATTACACCCACATATGTTAACAAGCAACAAGTGGATTGGTTGAGAGTACTTACATGCATTACACAAACTAAACCATCAAAACACACACAACCTGAACAACGGAAATATAACAGGGAACACCAGTGCTCTCCATTATCATCATTCACCAAACATTCAAACACCAATATTACAACGAAAAATCATCAACACAAAATCAACCCCATATACAAAATACTCAACATTCACATACACACACAAAACAAAACATGTACAACACACACTCCTTCATCATCATGTAGACAGAACATGGAACACGACTACGCAAATTAACATCGTCGTCCAACGAGAAATCTGTCCAACCATCAATGTCACTCTCATTACACCCACATATGTTAACAAGCAACAAGTGGATTGGTTGAGAGTACTTACATGCATTACACAAACTAAACCATCAAAACACACACAACCTGAACAACGGAAATATAACAGGGAACACCAGTGCTCTCCATTATCATCATTCACCAAACATTCAAACACCAATATTACAACGAAAAATCATCAACACAAAATCAACCCCATATACAAAATACTCAACATTCACATACACACACAAAACAAAACATGTACAACACACACTCCTTCATCATCATGTAGACAGAACATGGAACACGACTACGCAAATTAACATCGTCGTCCAACGAGAAATCTGTCCAACCATCAATGTCACTCTCATTACACCCACATATGTTAACAAGCAACAAGTGGATTGGTTGAGAGTACTTACATGCATTACACAAACTAAACCATCAAAACACACACAACCTGAACAACGGAAATATAACAGGGAACACCAGTGCTCTCCATTATCATCATTCACCAAACATTCAAACACCAATATTACAACGAAAAATCATCAACACAAAATCAACCCCATATACAAAATACTCAACATTCACATACACACACAAAACAAAACATGTACAACACACACTCCTTCATCATCATGTAGACAGAACATGGAACACGACTACGCAAATTAACATCGTCGTCCAACGAGAAATCTGTCCAACCATCAATGTCACTCTCATTACACCCACATATGTTAACAAGCAACAAGTGGATTGGTTGAGAGTACTTACATGCATTACACAAACTAAACCATCAAAACACACACAACCTGAACAACGGAAATATAACAGGGAACACCAGTGCTCTCCATTATCATCATTCACCAAACATTCAAACACCAATATTACAACGAAAAATCATCAACACAAAATCAACCCCATATACAAAATACTCAACATTCACATACACACACAAAACAAAACATGTACAACACACACTCCTTCATCATCATGTAGACAGAACATGGAACACGACTACGCAAATTAACATCGTCGTCCAACGAGAAATCTGTCCAACCATCAATGTCACTCTCATTACACCCACATATGTTAACAAGCAACAAGTGGATTGGTTGAGAGTACTTACATGCATTACACAAACTAAACCATCAAAACACACACAACCTGAACAACGGAAATATAACAGGGAACACCAGTGCTCTCCATTATCATCATTCACCAAACATTCAAACACCAATATTACAACGAAAAATCATCAACACAAAATCAACCCCATATACAAAATACTCAACATTCACATACACACACAAAACAAAACATGTACAACACACACTCCTTCATCATCATGTAGACAGAACATGGAACACGACTACGCAAATTAACATCGTCGTCCAACGAGAAATCTGTCCAACCATCAATGTCACTCTCATTACACCCACATATGTTAACAAGCAACAAGTGGATTGGTTGAGAGTACTTACATGCATTACACAAACTAAACCATCAAAACACACACAACCTGAACAACGGAAATATAACAGGGAACACCAGTGCTCTCCATTATCATCATTCACCAAACATTCAAACACCAATATTACAACGAAAAATCATCAACACAAAATCAACCCCATATACAAAATACTCAACATTCACATACACACACAAAACAAAACATGTACAACACACACTCCTTCATCATCATGTAGACAGAACATGGAACACGACTACGCAAATTAACATCGTCGTCCAACGAGAAATCTGTCCAACCATCAATGTCACTCTCATTACACCCACATATGTTAACAAGCAACAAGTGGATTGGTTGAGAGTACTTACATGCATTACACAAACTAAACCATCAAAACACACACAACCTGAACAACGGAAATATAACAGGGAACACCAGTGCTCTCCATTATCATCATTCACCAAACATTCAAACACCAATATTACAACGAAAAATCATCAACACAAAATCAACCCCATATACAAAATACTCAACATTCACATACACACACAAAACAAAACATGTACAACACACACTCCTTCATCATCATGTAGACAGAACATGGAACACGACTACGCAAATTAACATCGTCGTCCAACGAGAAATCTGTCCAACCATCAATGTCACTCTCATTACACCCACATATGTTAACAAGCAACAAGTGGATTGGTTGAGAGTACTTACATGCATTACACAAACTAAACCATCAAAACACACACAACCTGAACAACGGAAATATAACAGGGAACACCAGTGCTCTCCATTATCATCATTCACCAAACATTCAAACACCAATATTACAACGAAAAATCATCAACACAAAATCAACCCCATATACAAAATACTCAACATTCCCATATAGATTGATAAATGAGTTAATATACACACAGAGAGAATATCATGACAAGTTCTTTTATTCAGTATTTTATGAATATTTTTTGTGGTGTTTGGTTTTGTGACTCACTTTTTCGTTCAGTGTTTGATTATTTATTGGTATCACGGGATAAGTGGTTTCTGCAGTAGATGAAATTGCGGACGCTAGTGATAACTCTGCTACAACACGGGGCCGATGAACATTGGATCTAGTTGGACGACCCAGTGCGTTACTTGATTCAGAAGTAGGAGTTTCTGAGCATGCACTTTTCTTTTCTAAGCTATCACAATTTTCATCTATATTTTGGTCAAAACTAGGATGGCGATTCACAGCTCGAAAAGGAATAACAAGTTTATGTTTCAGAGTTACTTGGTACGGTGAATTGGAATCGCTTAAGCTTTCAAGTGGTATAGGAATAGGAAGTTGCACTGTTGCTGGTGAAGTTGTAGTGTTCATTTTAACTTTTGAAATATGTTTAGATTGAATAGCATTTATTCGTCGCAACCATTGAGATGCGAAATAATAATCCTGGCAAGAGAAATAATGATTAGTAGTCCTTGAATATCGAATCAGTATACAATATGATCACTAGACTTGTTCACGAAAAAAAGAAAGACGCTCAGGTACATTGAGAGCAATACATGGATACCTAAACAAAAGTAAAGCTTAGAAACTAGCTAATTTTCTGATTTTATTTATTTTTACTTTGCTGTATAGCTGGAAAGTTAAAACAACTATAATGGTGAGATTACGTCTCAAAATGGAGGAACTACTATACTGTTAAATTAAAAATTTGGCTGAATAAAACAACCACTACATTTACCATTTGTGACACAGAAATTAACTGAATTACAGTATACCAAGCAGCAATGTATTTTAAGTCAAATGATGGAATAACTGGTAACAGAATCAATATTCTGGGTATTACTCAGTTATGGACACTGATACATTTCATTAATTCAAGATAGAAACGACTAGGCTTCAGAAGTTCAAAATCAAATGAGACATTGATCTGAAGATGAATAAACAAGCGATGGGAATTTATAGTCTTAAAGACACAAACATGCGATACAATTAATTCTAAAAACACCTTCTGAATAATAAAATGATTAACTCAGCAAGAAATTCATTTACAAAGAGCTTATTTTCAAAGCCGTACAACCAAATATATTTACTCATGATAAATTATAGGCTAATTAATAAATCAGAGAGAGGTTTTGCGGATATCATAGTAATTTAATAATTGAATTTATGTTTCAATTTATGCTAGACCACCATGGAAAGCCTGGAATCACTGGACGGCCATTTCGTCCTAGTATGGGACTCCTCAGGAGTGCGCATCCATGATGGTCTAGCTTCCATTGACTCATGATTTCAATTACTAAATTGCTATAATATCCACAAAACCCCTCTCCGATTATAATCACCATATGCCAACTACAGACGGTCTCAAAAAGGTATTTCCTGGAGTTCTACTGAGAAGCAGTGACCGGTGGAATTCAACCGGGTCAGTTGTGAGATAGTAACTCACTAAAGATAATAGTGGATGGTGGCGCAATTTCGTGGATTGGTTGAAGTTAGACATTAACACCGTTGGATGCCGGCTCAGTGGTCTAGAAGTTAAGCGTTCGCGCGCGAGACCGATAGGTCCTGGGTTTGAATCTCGCGAGGCGGGATCGTGGATGCGCACTGCTGAGAAGTCCCATACTAGAACGAAACGGCCGTCCAGTGCTTCCAGGTTTTCTATGGTGGTCTAGCTTCAATTGACCCGTGAATTCAACGATTAATTAATAAATGTCAAAATTTGACAATTGGTTATATGAAATTCAAATACATAATTTGAGATAAATAAACAACTATTTATTCGTATTAACCACTGAAGAAACTCTTAACTGTGCCAAAATCATCAGAAGTTAAAACACAAATTATTCTTGAAGGAAATGATCTGAAACGAGTTTTAAACAAGTGGGATTTCATTGAACTTACATTACATGAATCATATCAAAGAACGAGCATTTTGATGTCAAATTCCATCATTTCGATGATAAATAAATGGTGTATCAACTTTAAAACCATATTAAAAGACGTTTCAAAACAGAAAATTTTGCCCAAATTATATTAACTAAACAGATATTTGGAGAAGTTTGAACTACATTTTTATTACCGCATAGCCCTAATAATGTGGTGATTCATTCTGCTGTATATAAGTGATGGGGTAACGATTGAAGAAATGAATATCATCAAAAACCCGGATGGTTCTTGGTACCTTATGTTAATCCCCCTTGACATGAAAATATGTGACCTATGATTTTAAGAAATCAACTACAAAACTAACTAATAAGCGATTTCAGAAATTAATTTTCATCAAGTGCTAAGAACTACACCTGTGTTTCATTAACAGTAAATGAAGAGACATATAAACGATCCGGTCAACAAAATCATTCAGTGAGTAGAGGCATTAATTTCCAGGCAACTGTGCTACTTAAGAATCACATAATCAACTAAAAATGTAGTAAATTGAAAACATTTAGAAAATAAGAAACTGACCTGGACATAGGGATTAGATACCATCAAAGGACGCAACTGAATCAATAACACACCAATTGCTTCATAGTCTGTCATCCAACTACCACTGTTTGGGTCGCTTTCTTTATCTATGGATACTTCCTCGAGTGGAGCAACGAATCCTGTTGGTTGTTTTGAACACGGTATAACAGTTGATGATAGACTAACAGACTGTTTCGACTCGATATTTGTTGGTTGAACAGGAAAACGTGAAAGGTATGATGAAAGCGGAAAACTATTGAGTTGGACATTTGGCAACATTATTCCACGAACGCTCGGAGGTGACATCAAAGGATTGTGCTGACTTGAAGAAACAGGTGAAACGACAGGTGGTTGTTGTTGAATGATGCACTGATTTCGCATAAATGCTAAACTGCAAAATAATATTGAATTAAATAAATCAAATACTTGAGGCTTACAACTTTAACAAATACCAGAAAAATGCATCCCAGATTACACTACCTGACCCCAAAATCCCTAGTACAGCCAAGAGAGAAGAGGGCCTGACCTCCCTCTCTAAATGCTCTCACACGGCCACGCATATAAACCTCTGCTAGGGAAGTTAGACCCGCTGCATTCCCGCGGCGAGGGTGTTCTTCACCACAATGAGGATGAAAAGCGAATGTCCGGCGCTTTAACCGGATTCCAAATCAATAGTGCACATGGTTTTGATTTGGACGTCCCTAACTTTCTTCCACCCTACTCCTACGCTAGAAGACACCGTTCATCGAGATAGGAGGTGGTTGGACATACGTAACACATGTCTCAATCACCTCAGTTGAAGATTAACTTTCTCATCAATCGGTTTTCAATCCTTACCTAGTACATTATTCCTAACCCAGGCATTCCTTACTTCGTGGTCCCGAAATACACTAGCAATGCTTCGAAGACACCTATGATCGAATACCGAAACCAATGGTGCACATGGTCTCCAGTATCCTAAGGGAACAAATGGCGTATGAACCAATCGTTGGTCACCGGCTACCATGGCACTGCATCTCCTCATGATGCTCCACTGCCTTGTGGATCAGACCTTTAGGTCAAAGGCTTGGGGTGTGGCCCTCTAATAAAACCACCTGCTTCGGTCTGGCCACCCGGGCAGTATCACAGCCCACACACAAATAAAATGAAAATGACGATATTTACTGAAAATTCTATTCACGCTTCGATTAACAATCAAACAATTCACATTATTATTATTATTATTATTATTATTATTATTATTATTATTATTATTATTATTATTATTATTATTATTATTATTATTTACCACGTCACTTATTCACTCCCTTTTATTCCCACTTTGTGTATCCTTATTTTTCGACTTATACAGCAGCTCGCCTATGATGGAAACTCGGTTCTATCTAGACGTTCTCGAGTCACTGCCTGGTTGAAAATTATATGCTACCACCAAATACGAATACTGAAGCAGTTCTTCTGAAACTACGTGCACCATTCAAACTGGCTGCCTTCAACGTTCGCACACTTATGCAGGTCGGACAACAGATAGGAAAGTTTCGATAATGATATTAGAAGACGAAGATTATCGAAATTTATCAAAGGGACTAATTGTTTTAAAGATAGGAAAGTCTTAATATCGACGTTTGTTGTCTATCCGAGACCCGTATTCAAGACTCTGGTGAAGTACTACAAATTTGCTCTCCATCTGTCGTTTCGAAAAGCTTGTTTTAAATGTGTTTATCCGGGGACCCTGTGGCATCTTCGCCTGGTCTTTCTGGCGTTGGTGTCGCACTAAGCGCTAGAGCTGAGACAGCACTAATCGATTGGATCCCCATTAACAGTCAGCTATGTGCTGTTAGATTAGAGAATTCCATCAAAGTGAGAAGAAATCGGCGTGAGAAACGATATCTTTTCGTCATCTCCGCCTATGCCCCAACAGATCGCAGCCCGGATGCAATCAAGGATGAATTCTACTACCATTTACCTGATCTTCTCCAGAAAGTGCGTTCGACAGATATTGTAGTACTAGCCGGAGACTTGAATGCTCAGATCGGGCATCTAGGCATGAGATCAATGCACGTATAGTGAATCCCGACCGAAGCTGCTACCTTGATGCGATGGTCGGGCTTGCCTATCGTGATGACCCAAGTGAGCTATATTGACTGGAACATATGTTCCCGTAGGTTCTACCATGCCAGGCAGGTCGATTGGAGAACGGTAAGACTAAAAGCAGCAACTCAAGGTCTGAGGGCGAAGTCGTACTGCTGACTGTACAGAGGTGTGGTAGCAGTAAGGTGTTTCCCTCAGACAACCAGCATCTGCAGCGATACTGCCTTCTCACAAGGAGGGGTGGGGTTAGAAAAGGTCGACCCTAAAAACGTCACACCCCACCTTACCTCACGGATTTCCGTCTCCGGCGGTAAAGCCTATTGAAGAACGGAGCTAACACGTCAAAAACCTTCCACAAAAAGGCCGTGCGCGACCGGCCTCAAGCAGTTGTCCCTTTGGATCTGCAGTCACACTCCCATGTCTTTAAGACCAACACCAATCTAATTTCCTTCTCAGGTTCCTCAAGAAATACCCTTCCATGGTGTAGGCAGCCGGGAAGTGACATCAGCCCTCATACCCGTAACAGCACACGAGACCAAGGTGGTCACATTCAAATCCTTCCTACACCTCCTAATACCTCTCTTATCTCCATGACTAACCCTCCTCATATCGCTTTATCACCTCGCACCGCTAGGGCAAACGATTCGAGTACACCGAACGTTATTCCTGGTCTCCTGAAACCACGCTCTAAACTACAGGTAGGAGCTTTTAACGTCCGAACACTGTGCCAAATAGGACAGCAGGCTTCCTTAGCTAGGACTTTAGAATCTCGCGCCATCGATGTGTGCTGCGTCTCCGAAACGCGCATACAGGATCCGAGTAGCGTCATTCACTTGACCTCATCATGCCAAAATAAAGAACCAACTCGATTCCCACTTCGTGTATCTGGAAGCCCTGATTCTGCTTCCCGTGGCCTCGCTGGCGTAGGTATAGCATTGAGTCCTAGGGCAGAACTAGCCCTCTTAGAGTGGACCCCAGTAGACAGTCGTTTGTGAGCTGTCTGACTAAACGAAACAGTAAGGACTCGGAAAGATAGCAACACTCGTCGTTGCTTCTTCGTCGTCTCTGCCCATTCTCCGACTGACTATAGCTCAGATGATGTAAAAGATGAGTTTTACAGAAAGCTCTCCGGCCTTCTCCGAAAAGCTAGGCGCTCGGATGTAGTAATAGTGGCTTGTGACTTTAATGCTCAAGTAGGTAAAATAAGCGAAAGGGAAAGACACCTGGGTGGATCTTATAGCATCGTGGCTCAAAGAACAGATAATGGCGACCGTCTGTTGCAGCTATGCTCAGATAACCTCCTGTTTCTTGCAAATACTAACTTTAAGCATAAGGAAAAACATCTTTTGACATGGCGACCCCCTAATTCGTCCCAACGTTAGACCCAAATAGATCACATCGCTATCAGCTATCGATGGAGGGGCTCGATAGAAGACTGTCGCTCGTTCTGGAGTACATGCTTAGATTCAGATCATGCTCTAGTGCAAGCGCGTATTTGTTTGCGTCTTACTGGGCGTAGGAAAGACGCTGCAAGTAAACCTCTTAAGGTCCTACTTAATGATAGCCAAGCTAAGAATATATTTCAGGAACAACTAGAAAAAAACAGTTAGGCAGCCATGTAAGTGATGCCCACCCCGAAGCAGCGTAGAATGATATCCGAAAAGCTGTGGAAACAGCAGTGATATCTGCTAGTAAGGTAAACCATAAGGTTAGGGAGAAACACTGGGTCTCAGCAGCATCTATCGCACTGATAGGTGCTCGAAAACTTATCCCATCTGGCTCTGAACATAACGAAGAGCGGAGTCAGCTTAAGCGCATGCTGATAAGAAGCCTACGCAATGATTGTGAACAGCGGTGGGAAGCGAAAGCAAGAGATGGAAAAGGCAGCGGCAATAGGTAACCGCAGACAATTGTTCAGACTTGTTAAGGAAACCGGTATTAGGAACCCGACTGTTAGTGAAAGACTCTCAGAGAAAGATGGACACATTATACATTCTCAAGCCAGGAGATTGGATCGATGGGCAGAACACTTTAAGGATCAGTTCAACTGACCTTCAAATGCACTTCGATTTCCCACGATCTCCAGTCGACCTGAATGGCAAGTTGATGTATGTCCTCCAATTATTTGCAAAGTTGGAAAAGCTATAGGAAATCTGAAGCGTGGGATAGCAGCAGGCCTTGACAGGTTTATGCCTGAGATTTTTAAGGATAGTGGTCCAGCATTAGCAGTGAGATTGACTGAGGCCATAGGTAGTATCTGTGAACTGAACGCAATCCCATCTGACTGGTCTCAATCACTGCTTGTGCCAGTTTCTAAGAAAGGACAAAAGTCCTCTTGTGACAATCACAGAGGAATCAGTTTGACTAATGTAATGTCTAAAATATTAGCTTCAATAATACTTCGACGCCTAACTAAAGCTCGTGAAGAGCAGACTAGAGAAAATCAGGCTGGTTTTCGATCTGGACGTGGTTGTATAGACCACATATTCACACTACGTCAGGTTCTAGAACACAGACACACGTTCAGACGCCCCACAATCGTAGTATTTCTCGACCTTAAAGCAGCATTCGACTCTGTCGATCGTAAAGTTCTATGGCAGTGTTTGTCACTGAAAGGAGTACCAAAGAAGTACATTAACCTTGTAAAGGCTCTCTACTCGAACACAACTGGTAGAGTGAGAGCTTATGGCGAACTGTCTTCAGAATTGATTACCATAAGTGGTGTTCGTCACGGCTGCCGACTCTCTCCATTCTTGTTCAACTTTGTGGTCGACGTACTTTTGGAGATAACACTTTCCTCGTCTAAATTTCCAGGGGTTGAACTTCCGCCGGGAGGTTCACTTGTTGACTTAGAATATGCTGATGACATAGTTTTATTTGGTGAAGACGCTGACAAAATGCAGAGTCTTCTGACCACTCTAAGCAACAATGCAAGCATGTTCGGGATGCGATTCTCCCCCTCGAAATGTAAAATATTGCTTCAGGATTGGGTTGCATTGACGCCCGAACTAATGATAGGGAGTGAAGTAATTGAGCGTGTCGATCGCTTGACTTATCTTGGAAGTCTCACCAGCCCCTGTGGTCTGGTGTGTGACGAAATCTCAGCACGGACACAGAAGGCTCGACTAGCTTTTACCAACTTGCGTCATTTATGGCGTAGGCGAGATATCCGTCTATCAACCAAAGGACGGGTTTACTGTGCAGCAGTTCGTTCCGTCCTACTTTATGGCAGTGAAACATGGCCGGTAAGAGTAGAGGATATCCGTAGGTTACTAGTATTTGATCATAGGTGTCTTCAAATTATTGCTCGTATATCCTGGGACTATCGAGTAAGTAACGCAGTTGTCAGGAAACGGGTACTAGGTAAGGATGGCAAATCAATTGATGAAGTAGTGAAACTTCATCAGCTGAGATGGCTGGGACACGTGTTACGTATGCCCAACAACCGACTGCCTGGACGTGCGATGTTCAGTGGTATAGGAGTAGGTTGGAAGAAAGCTAGGGGCGGCCAGACCAAAACATGGCACAAGTCCATGAAGTCACTGACAAGTGGACTGAGTCATGTTGGTAGGTGTAGACTACCTGGTTGGGGACCGCGAGATGATAGCAACCGGTGGTTAGAGACCCTGAATGACATGGCTCAAAATCGTTTGCAATGGAGCAGGTGCATACACTCTTTGTGTTCTCTCAAATTCTAATCTTCTGAATTCTTCATGTCCTTTTTTTCCTCTTTCCAAATTTATTTCACTGTATTATACTCTTTAAATAACATCTCCAAACACTAATTTTCCTGATTACTGATTATACTCTTATTACCTCTACCACTACGGGGTTTGAATTGACAATTGTATCTGTGTACTAATGTGGTGTGGCAACTCGAACTGATGTACGTACGTACGAACGAAGTTCGACGTTGCTACTGACTGACTGACTGAAAGCCAGAGCGGCTTATGCCAATCTGGGCCATCTTTGGCGCCTTCGTGATGTCAGTCTGGCTGTTAAAGGTCGGATCTACAACGCGTCGGTGAGAGCAGTTCTGCTCTCTGCTTGTGAAACCTGGCCTCTCCGAGTTGAGGACGTTAGACGACTCTCTGTGCTTGGTCATCGCTGTCTCCGAAGGATTGCTGACATCCAGTGGCAACACCATGTTAGTAATGCAGAGGTTCGGCATCGTGTGTTCGGTTGCAGAGACGATAATTCAATTGGTGTCACCATCTTGAAACATCGACTTCGGTGGCTTGGACATGTTCTACGAATGTCGTCCCAGAGGATTCCATGTCGTGCATTATTTGCCGACTCTGGGACTGGTTGGAAAAAGCGGAGAGGTCGTCAGTGTATGATATGGTGTCGTGATATGAAAGAAATCTTCAAAGGGCTGGCTTCTGTTGGTCCTTCACGACTCCCTAGCTGGATTCCGAGAGATGGTGCGACACAGTGGCTAGAGACGTTATCAGATATGGCTCAGAATAGAAGCCAGCGGCGATTCTGCTGTAACCTTCTTTTACTTTCTTCATAAAAAGTGGTTGTGTCTTCCTTAACTGAAAGATTTCTTCTGGTTGTACCTTTCCGCTTACCCCATTATTATTATTATTATTATTATTATTATTATTATATGTGCCTGGTCCTACGTTGTGGCTGACTGACTGACTGATTAGTATTGTTATTATCACACTACCTTACACTAATCTGGTCGTTATTGTTCTTCTTTTTTTTCTTTTACGCTCCTCACCTTTCTTTTTTCTCTTCCCATTCTCATTGTTTTGTGTGGCGCATGTATATTTGGTGCCCCTTGTACCAATATTTTCTTGTGTTCAAATAAATAAATAAATAAATAATCTACCTGAAAAGGAAGTCGGATTAGTGTTGGTCTCAACGACCTGGGAGTGTGACTGCAGAGCCCAAAGGACAACTGCTCGAGGCCGGTCGCGCACGGCCTTTTTGTGGCAAGTTTTTAACGTGTTAGCTCCGTTCTTCAAAAGGCCTTACCGCCGGAGACGGAAATCCGTGAGGTAAGGTGGGGTGTGACGTTTTTAGGAACGACCTTTTCTAACCCCTTCCTTCCTTGTGAGAAGGCAGCTCTTAGTACTAATGTTTGTGTTCAGATGAATAGTTTTAAACCAACAGGTCCCCTGGTTTGAACCCCACTCTACTTCGGTTTGGACGATCGAGTAGTATCACTAGCCGTCACACTTAGAGTAGGGTTGATATCCAGGTACCTGGTGAATTAAATAGTTGAATATTTTTATTTATTACTAAGTAATTTCAATTTTCTCCTTATCGATTGTGCATTTAAAGTGGTTATTCACTTTCTGTCAGTCTATCACAGATCTCCCATTCAACAGGTTTCGAATTGAGTTTAGTTTACTTATTTTCTCTGCTATAGAGAAAGAACGGCGAAAGATGATATTATCGGTACCACTCAGTCCCAAGTTCGGACCCTATAATGACTTGATAAATTCAAATGAACTAACTAGCAACTAATCAATAATCTAGTGTGTACATATAATTTATAAAATCATAAATTGACTGACGACTAAGAAGCACAATTCACTACTGAATTATATATCTGTTTCCGTCTTAATAAATCCCCATTTACCCACTTTGGTTTGAGCAACCGAATAACATCATTACCTTACGCTTAGAGTGTAACTCATACCCAAATACCTGGTAGACGAGCTAATTTATATATTACATGGGTACGGAAACTGTTTGAGTTATAAACTTCGCAACTACAGGGAAACTAGAAACAAATTGAGTGGATTATATCAACTGACTTCTTTCCAACAAACGGGTGCAAATACATACTTCTACGTAATGTGATACTCTACAAGTTTTATGTCAAACGTATTTTCGTGACTGATCTTAAAGTTCGCGCCTACATCGTGCAAACTTTTCATTTAGTGTCTCTGACGTAGTAATTTAGTGAAGTTGACCACAGTAAACTGAGTCATATCTCATGTATATCAGCAGACGACACCACTCTACTGGTCAACTCTTGATATATAGCAGTTGTATACATTAACAACATAAATTCGACGACTAAATGAAATATGAATATTCAGTCCAAATAATACTTACCCATGAATTTGTGAGTAATCCAACTTTGAGGGATGTAGGTTTTTAAATACAGACTGCATTGCCGGTAACGTGGGGAAAACATTGGCATCAGTGGGAAACTGTCCCTTCAAAATATCCAATGAAAAGGGGTTAGCGCGTAAATGATTGGCATGTATTCCATTCTGCTATAACAAAAAGAGTGGATTTTTATGTCAACAACAGTAGTGAAAAACATTATCAGTTCAGATATCTAGGAATTTTAGCAGTTACCATGAGTACAAAATCTAAATGAAATGATTTGTTCACTAAACCAACACACTATGGTTAGGCACGAAGATTAATAAAGATAAAAATCGTGTAACACAACAAACTAACTCCCTCAATATTATGTACAAACTGTAATGAATACATTTGTACAGTGCGATAGCCCAAAGTGCCGAATATTACCCCGGTAAATCTGTTGACGCAATACCGGTCTGAAAACAGACCTGCCCATTATGTGTCAGTGTAATCGGTCGCTACATTTAGAGCCCAAATAATTGCCTATGTAAGATACTCAACATCCATTGGCCGGATACCATCAGCAACAGCCTTCTCTAGGAGAGAACAAACCAACTTCCAGCTGAAGACGAAAGTAGAAAAAGACGAAGGAAATGAATACGACATACATTACGCAAATCATCAAACTGCATCACGAGGCAAGCACTAACTTGAAATCCTGATGGGAAGCGGAAAAGAGGAAGGCCAAAGAACACATTACGTCGGGAAATAAAAGATGTGAAAAATATGAATAACACCTGGAAAGAGTAGGAAAGGCTTTTCCAGTACAGGGTTGGATGGAGAGTGTTGGTGGGCGGCCTATGCCCCTCCACGACGAGTTACTTTATTTATTGGAAAACAAAAAATATTGGTACAAGAGGGCATCAAATATAAATGCGCCACACAAAACAATGAGAATGGGAAGAGAAAAAAGAAAGGTGAGGAGCGTAAAAGAAAAAAAAGAAGAACAATAACGACCAGATTAGTGTAAGGTAGTGTGATAATAACAATACTAATCAGTCAGTCAGTCAGCCACAACGTAGGACCAGGCACATACAATAATAATAATAATAATAATAATAATAATAATAATGGGGTAAGCGGAAAGGTACAACCAGAAGAAATCTTTCAGTTAAGGAAGACACAACCACTTTTTATGAAGAAAGTAAAAGAAGGTTACAGCAGAATCGCCGCTGGCTTCTATTCTGAGCCATATCTGATAACGTCTCTAGCCACTGTGTCGCACCATCTCTCGGAATCCAGCTAGGGAGTCGTGAAGGACCAACAGAAGCCAGCCCTTTGAAGATTTCTTTCATATCACGACACCATATCATACACTGACGACCTCTCCGCTTTTTCCAACCAGTCCCAGAGTCGGCAAATAATGCACGACATGGAATCCTCTGGGACGACATTCGTAGAACATGTCCAAGCCACCGAAGTCGATGTTTCAAGATGGTGACACCAATTGAATTATCGTCTCTGCAACCGAACACACGATGCCGAACCTCTGCATTACTAACATGGTGTTGCCACTGGATGTCAGCAATCCTTCGGAGACAGCGATGACCAAGCACAGAGAGTCGTCTAACATCCTCAACTCGGAGAGGCCAGGTTTCACAAGCAGAGAGCAGAACTGCTCTCACCGACGCGTTGTAGATCCGACCATTAACAGCCAGACTGACATCACGAAGGCGCCAAAGATGGCCCAGATTGGCATAAGCCGCTCTGGCTTTCACTATACATGCATTGATCTCATGCCTAGATGCCCGATCTGAGCATTCAAGTCTCCGGCTAGTACTACAATATCTGTCGAACGCACTTTCTGGAGAAGATCAGGTAAATGGTAGTAGAATTCATCCTTGATTGCATCCGGGCTGCAATCTGTTGGGGCATAGGCGGAGATGACGAAAAGATATCGTTTCTCACGCCGATTTCTTCTCACTTTGATGGAATTCTCTAATCTAACAGCACATAGCTGACTGTTAATGGGGATCCAATCGATTAGTGCTGTCTCAGCTCTAGCGCTTAGTGCGACACCAACGCCAGAAAGACCAGGCGAAGATGCCACAGGGTCCCCGGATAAACACATTTAAAACAAGCTTTTCGAAACGACAGATAGAGAGCAAATTTGTAGTACTTCACCAGAGTCTTGAATACGGGTCTCGGATAGACAACAAACGTCGATATTAAGACTTTCCTATCTTTAAAACAATTAGTCCCTTTGATAAATTTCGATAATCTTCGTCTTCTAATATCATTATCGAAACTTTCCTATCTGTTGTCCGACCTGCATAAGTGTGCGAACGTTGAAGGCAGCCAGTTTGAATGGTGCACGTAGTTTCAGAAGAACTGCTTCAGTATTCGTATTTGGTGGTAGCATATAATTTTCAACCAGGCAGTGACTCGAGAACGTCTAGATAGAACCGAGTTTCCATCATAGGCGAGCTGCTGTATAAGTCGAAAAATAAGGATACACAAAGTGGGAATAAAAGGGAGTGAATAAGTGACCAACAGGCATGATTCTGTAAGGATAGATCGTGTACAGACCAAATCGCAACTCTACGGATCATTGTGGAACAATCAATTGAATGGAATTCATCACTCTACATCAGCTTCATTGACAACGAAAAGGCATTTGATAGCGTGGACAGGAGAACACTATGGAAGCTTCTTCGACACTACGGCGTACCTGAGAAGATAGTCAACATAATACGGTATTCCTATGATGGATTACACTACAAAATAGTGCATGGAGGACAGGTCACAGACTCGTTCGAGGTAAAGACCGGTGTAAGGCAAGGTTGCTTACTCTCACTCTTTCTCTTTCTCCTGGTGACTGACTGGATCATAAAGACGTCAACATCTGGGAAGAGGTATGGGATACAGTGGACATCTAGGATGCAGCTGGACGATCTAAACTTCGCAGATGATCTGGCTTTCCCATCGCATACGCAACAACAAATGCAGACGACGACCAGTGTAGCAGCAGCCTCAGCAGCAGTAGGTCATAACATACACAAAGGGAAAAGCAAGATTCTTCGATACAACACAGCATGCAACAATCGAATCACACTTGACGGAGATTTGGAAGATGTAAAAACCTATACATATCTGGGCGACATCATTGATGAACACGGCGGATCTGATATGTGAAGGCGCGGATAGGCAAAGCAAGAGCAGCATGTCTACAAATAAAGAACATCTGGAACTCAAAACAACTGTCAACCAACACCAAAGTCAGAATTTTCGATACAAATATCAGGACAGTTTAACTCTATGGGGCGGAAACTTGGAGAAGTACGAAAGCCATCATCCAGAAGATACAAGCGTTTATTAAGTTGTTTAAGCAATACTTCGGATCCGTTGAGCAGACACTACCAGCAACAACCTACTGTGGGAGAGAACAGACCAGATTCCAACGGAGGGTGGATAGGACACACATTGAGAAAAGCACCCAACTGCGTCACAAGGAAAGCCCCCACCTGGGATCCTCAAGGCCAAAGCAAAAGAAGATCAAAGAACACATTACGCCGAGAAATGAATACAGACATAAGAATGAATAACAATTGGATAGAGCTAGAAAGGAAGGCCCAGGACAGAGTGGATTGGAGAATGCCAGTCAGCGGCCTATGCTCAAATCGGAGTAACAGGCGTAAGTAAGTAAGGCTGTAGTTAAACATTTCTCATTTGACGAGAATCAACAACTTTCTACGGGATAACTCGAATAGCATGATCATAATCAGTTTTCAGTTGATTAATCCTATTAGAATACCAGTCTCTTATAAGAACATTTAAATTCTAAGCTTTCACCAAACTGCGAGAAAACGTTGGGACTGAAAGAATGCTAGTATTTGACTGATATTTTCCAACTTTTATCTTGGTGTATTTCCACCTTTAATTAACGGACATTACGAGTGAACAATCACTTATAACACGTGCTTTAGGTGGGTATTTTACATAACAAAGTTTAATTTTCCTTAGAGATTTAACGTATGGTCCCTGTGGAAATGATTGATAACCTGCACATTCAAAACTTAGATTTTATCACGCCACCAAAGAAGATAACAATTTTTAATCGTACTTCAGGGGTAGTGAATTAGATATGAAATTCAGTTGCACTTTGGTCAGATCCTAAGAGACACAAGCTAGGTCAATGTAGTCCGATTGGAAGATTTGAATGGAAATCTTAGCTTTTCTTACAGGTTTGCTCAGTAAAGTGAGTGACTCTATTGATACACTCTGTAAGCTTAAGCCCCCAAATGCCCTGGTACGGCCGAGAGTGGGGAGAGTCCGCTCTCCCTCTCGAAATACTCTCACATGGCCACGAGTATATAGCCTCTGCCAGGGAAGTTCTGCTCACTGCCTTCTCGTGGAGGGGGTGTTTTTTACGAAAATGAGAGGACGAAAAGCGAATGTTCGGCGCTTTAACCGGATTCCAAACCAATGGTGCACATGGGCTCCAGTATCCTAAGGGAACAAATGGCGTATGAACCAATTGTTGGCCACCGGCTTCCATGGGACTGCATCTCCTCACGATGCTCCACTGCCTTGTGGATCAGACCTTCAGGTCGAAGGCTCCGGGTGTGGCCACCTAAGAAAACCACCTGCTTCGGTTCGGGCACCCGGGCAGTATCACAGCCCTCACACATATCGAATGAGATTTGTGTGGCGCATATGTACTTAGTGCCTCCTTGTGCCAATATCTATGTGTTAAAATAAATAAATAAATAATAAAGCTTGGAATATGCTAACTAAAATGGATAAAAAGACTATTAGACTTAATATCGAGTAAAGAACTATCCAGAACTTATTCCTAATGTTTACAAAATCGAGTATATGTCAATACCCATCGGTTAAGTACCGCTCAGATGGTATACTGATCGCATGTTCAGTACCCCTGACCACAAGTTGAGTCAAATATAAGACTTCGTGAAGAAACACGAGTTAATATTGTATGAATTCCTATCTAAATCATGTTTATACTGGCTTAAATGTAAATACATCAAGAAATACACATCAAATGAAGTATGCCACTACAACCACCAATGAAATCCCTTGAATTTATTTTATAGGCAGAGAAGTTAAAACTCAAAGTAATGGGACGTCGCAATATATTGTTGATGGCCGATGATAAGCATAAAACAAGTTATAAGTAGTAATACGTGTGTTTAGTTACATACATCTACTACTGTTATTTCGCTTTTGGAAATAAATAATTTGAGTAGTGCGAGTGCTCCCTTATAAGGTGACAAAAACAAGTCGAACTAAATACCACTACTACAACTGCCTACTTTATAGATTTAGTTTGGATTTATTGAAGTTGAGTATTTGCTTTTAAAAAATGCTAGTTAATTCAAACGGTAGTTAAATAATGAAACATTTGAATACAAGGAAAATTCTGAGGTTTTAAAATTTATGAGGGTTGAAATAGCAAAGTAAAATTACTAACAACCTGTAGAAATAATAAGAATCCCAATAAATGAAAGGAGAAATTCGTAATTCCAAATGTTGTATGAAAAACACTCACATGGACAGATAGAGAATTTTGAACTGCTTGTGACTGGCAGACGCGATTCCCAGAAGAAAACACAGGGCTAGGATACAATTTGTGCTGACTAACTGGTACAATATTTTGGAGGTTTCTTGAAGATTGAGAAGCTTTGGGGAATAATTCAGTACCGACCTCCCCTGTTTGAGATTCTGTAGCTACCTTACGTGACAAGTAATTTTCTGTAGAAGCTTCTGGTGGTATAGATACAGTCTTGACAGATGGTGGAGGGTAAACATTTAATGATCGGAGTATATCGATTACGTTTTTCGACTTCATATTACAATCGGACGCTGTGCTGATCTTGCCACTTCCATATCCAACCTCATAACTACCATCAATGCTCCAGATGTCACGAGTCCTATCAAGAATGTCAGTAGGAGCAGTCGGATATGCAGGTGTGTTTCTCAGATGCTGAAATGAGTCTTCGTTGAGCTGTTGGTAAGAAACCTTCCTGGATATATCTAGGATAGCAGGATCCTCAAAGGTCTCATCTAATACTAGCTTTTGAAGTGTTTCCTCAACATCGACAACCTTCAGAAAATATAACTGTGATCTGTTCACTTACTTTTTCGCCCCCATCATCCACAGTCACACCACAACCGAGGTCATTCGTTTGCCATAAGAACGAAAGACCACCAGCGTCATTCCAGAACTTTGGTAGTTCATCAGCAGTTGGAGATTCTTCGGAAACTTTATGAAAATTCTGCACAAATTGATCATGTTCGTTCTCCCAGTCACCTGAAAGTTATTATAATAAGAATGACCCAAACCTATCTCTGCACAGTCGAATGTCTCTTCGTTTAGAAGATCGGGATCCTAAAGCGTGAAATTATTCCATTTAAAATATGTTACCTCTTCCGAATCATCCATATATTAAGGACCTAAATGACTGATGACTTTACAGAACCAGGACAAATCATACCGAAGAGGCGCAACTAGTTAAAACAGGCGGTGCACAATGTACAATGCCTGGAATTCGGATGACTCGGAAGGTTTTTAGCAAATTAGAGGAAACTTTCGCCTAATAGATTCACATGTTCAGTAGCGCTGGACCATCATTACTTCCAAGCAAAGACTTAAATACATTAAATAAACCAAGCGTAAATATTGATAAATTTGTATGAAATATTGTCTCAATTCCCTAATAAATCAAGCTTCCTCTTGAAGAACTCCTGAGAACTTTCTCGATACTGCTTAGTTTACAAACGATTTCAAAGCTTTTCCTCTCGTGCGCCTACCCTATAGTTTGACATGTATCTCATTTCTGGATATTACTCCTGTAGCGGTAAATAAATCTCCAAAATAAGTGGTTCCATAAGTTCTCAATATTAACGTTGACCTTGTAGCGGTAAATAAATCCCCAAAATAAATAGCACTAAGTTTTCGACATTGGATGCTGACCATATGTTTTAGTGGACTCACCTAGCTGAAGGCGCTCGGTCAGGCATCTGCACCAGATCACGTGTGGTAACGCCGTGCTCAACATCAACCGCAATCGCTAGCCAGATTAGATCAGAGAATTCCGATATATTGGTCATCGCCAAATATACTCTTCCGATCTCCTCGACTCTGTCTTTTGATTTCTCTGGGCGGGAACGAAATATATTAGAAGGTGTTACTGGTAGAAGCGTTGTCAAACACTGAATACCTGTGACATCAACATTGGTGAAACCGACGTGATCTGGTACACCTAATTGCAACTGTGAGTCTGTTCCTTTTTGGGATTTTTATATATCATTGCCTTATTTTTTAAACTTTTTTAAACATTGTGATTTTTTTTCGTGTTTTTTCCTGGATATATATATTTTCCCCTTGTTCATTATCGTACTTCATACTTCATCATGACTGAACAGACACCTAAAGTACTCAAGCTTAAGACTTTGTCCCCGCCTTCGTTTCAACTGATGCCTTTCTGGCCCGACAACATCGAAGCCTGGTTTTGCTACGCAGAAGCCGACTTCTCCGAGCACGGCGTGATCGACACACGTGCACAATTCCTCGCAGTAGTCAAGGCACTACCGCGCGAATTCAACAGGTACGTAACACCTAGTATGTTTACTAGTGATGTTTCCGATCCTTACGAAATCTTAAAACGCTCGATTCTTAAACGAGGAGACCTAACCGATCGACAAAGGTTAGATCAACTCTTCAACAATATCGACCTGCAACATGGTTCTGCGACAGACATGTTGCAACGGATGAGAGAGGTAATAGGCCCAAGAACTTTCGACGAAGGCCTATTCAAACAACTCTTCTTGTCAAAACTTCCCCAACAGGTGCAAGCAGTTCTGGTCTCGTTCCAGAACAATGCCTTAGACGAACTAGCTGCATCTGCCGACCGCATTCTAGAAATTACGAAATCTACTACCGAGGTATTTTCAGTCAAAGAAAAACCTCAAACGACTCAGAATGATATAAACGACTTATGTCACACACTCACGCGTTATCTTAGTCTTCGTACCGACCGTGAGAGATCGCGCACACCACGTAGAAGCATTTCTCGTAAGCGATCTGTCTCTAGACCACGAGAGACAGATAACCCCGACTGGTGCTGGTATCATAACCAGTATGGAAAGCTTTCCAGAAATTGCAGAAAACCCTGCAATTTTCCCAACACGAAACCGACTGATTCGAAAAGCATTTCGGGAAACTTCCAAGCCGGCACGCGTTAACGGCAACCGTAGCCGGCGAACAAAGCCGTCTGTTATTCGTCACAGATGTGACAACGAGAGTTCGTTACCTCGTCGACACTGGCGCAGAAGTTAGCGTTCTCCCAGCAAATCCTAACGACCGGCTTCAGGAATCGGCTTTTAACTTACAGGCGGCAAATGGAAAACCGATCGCTACGTATGGCAAAAGGTACGTTTACCTTAACGTGGGTTTACGCAAACCCATCCACTGGATTTTCGTTGTTGCAGATGTTTCTATGCCAATCATTGGTATGGACCTTCTACAACACCACAATCTGATCATCGACACGCGCAAACGGAGGCTAGTAGACGGAAACACTAATTTGTCCGTTTGCGTAACTTCCTTTACTGGTTGTAGAGTATCCCCAGTCACAGTTAAACATATGATAGACCCACTCTATCAACCACTACTCGATAAGTACCCTGGGATACAACAAACTCAACCGAAACTACCGTGTGTAACCAGCAATGTTACACATCACATCACGACTACAGGACCACCTGTATTCTCTAAAGCACGACGACTAGCTCCTGAAAAGCTAAGGTTAGCGAAAAACGAATTCGATCACATGATGGACTTAGGAATCATACGACCGTCAAGTAGCCCATATGCATCTCCGTTGCACATGGTCCCTAAAAAGGACAGCAACGATTGGCGTCCAACTGGTGACTATCGGCGATTGAACGCGAAAACCATTCCCGATCGTTACCCGTTGCCTCACATTCACGATTTGACAGCTACCTTGAAAGGTACAACTGTCTTTTCGAAAATCGACTTGGTTAAAGCGTATAACCAAATCCCTATGGCTACTGACGACATACCGAAAACAGCTATCATAACTCCTTTCGGACTCTATGAATTTTTGCGAATGCCTTTCGGTCTAAGGAATGCTGCTCAAACATTCCAAAGGTTCATAGACGACGTTTTTCGAGGTCTCAACTTCGTACACGCGTATGTTGACGACTGTCTAATCGCAAGTCCGGACAGAGAAACACATCTCAAGCATCTGGATCTTGTTTTCGAACGACTTCAAAAACATAGCATAACTGTAAACGTTCAGAAATGCCAATTCGGAACCGACTCGTTAGACTTCCTAGGACACACTATCGATGCTCAAGGCATTCGACCTCTTAGGACCAAAGTGGCGGCCATTCTGGATTACCCAGAACCGACCACCGTCAAGCAATTACGCACGTTTAACGGCCTGGTAAGTTTCTATAGACGTTTCATACCGAAATGCGCATTACTTATGAAACCTCTGACCGACCAACTTCGTGGAAATGCGAAATCCATTAATTTGGACGACACCGCACGAAAAGCATTCTCCACAGTTAAGGAACTGATTGCTAAAGCAACGATGCTCGCACATCAGGACACCCGAGCACCCATTAGCATCGCAGTAGACGCATCCGACTCGGCAATCGGAGGAGTCTTACAACAATGGGTTAACAACTCCTGGCAACCCTTGGCATTTTTCTCTAGAAGGTTGCTAGACACCGAATCGAGGTACAGCACATTCGGTAGGGAACTCCTAGCTATGTATTGTGCTGTACGGCATTTCCAACACTACATCGAAGGTCGTGAATTCACTCTTTTCACGGACCATAAACCGCTCACTTTCTCGTTAAGCTCTCCTTCTGACAAGTACTCTCCACGTGAGTCTCGACAACTGGACTACATTTCGCAGTTTACTTCAGATATTCAACACATCTCTGGAGCAAACAATGTAGTTGCAGACGCTTTATCTCGCATAACTCCCTTGAACAGTTTCCAAGGAATCGACCTTCTTAAACTCGCCGAGCTTCAAAAAGAAGACAGTGATCTTCAGCACGAGTTATCGTCCACAACACTTAAACTACGCATCAAACAGATGGGAACAGGTAAGGAAACCTTACTTTGTGACACATCTACGGGTAGGGATCGCCCAATCGTGCCGAAACATTATCGACGCAATGTCTTCAATACATTGCACAAACTTTCTCATCCAGGTGTTCGTGCAACCATCAAGCTTATTGCAGAAAGGTTTTGCTGGCCTGGAATGAATAAAGACGTGAGGGAGTGGGCACGCTCCTGTGTAAGCTGCCAAAAATCTAAGGTTATCAGACACAATAAATGTCCCTTAGGCTCGTTTAAAACTCCCGATGCTCGTTTCGACCATGTTCATCTGGATTTGGTAGGACCTTTACCAGATTCAAATGGCTACTCTTATCTCTTAACCTGCGTAGACCGTTTCACTCGATGGCCAGAAGCAGTACCTATCAAGGACATCACTGCTGAAACAGTGGCTCGCACCTTCGTCGAACGATGGGTAGCAAACTTCGGCTGCCCTTCAACCATTACTACAGACCGCGGACGTCAGTTTGAATCCGATCTTTTCCGTCGTCTGACCACGCTTTTAGGAATCACTCGCTTCCGAACGACCGCCTACCATCCACAAGCAAACGGGTTGGTAGAACGTTTTCACCGACAACTGAAAGCTTCGCTATCAGCTGCAAACGTTTCACAGTGGACCGACGCTCTTCCACTCGTCTTACTAGGTATCCGCAATGCAGTGAAAGCTGACATTGGATACACTGCGTCTCAACTCGTTTATGGTACGACACTTCGACTTCCAGGAGAATTCGTGGATCCTTCATCCTCTTCAATGAACATGGATCTAACCTCCTACACGAACAGGCTTACAAACGCAATGCGTTCAGTTAAACCTGCTTCCACTCGACCTCAATCAACTGATGTTTTCGTTCAACCTGACTTACGATATAGTACACACGTTTTCGTTCGTCGAGACTCGCATCGACGACCCTTCGAATCAGCATACGAAGGACCCTTCAAAGTTCTTCAACGTGAATCTAAGTACTATATAGTCGATAAGAACGGAACCAGCGATAGCATCAGTATCGATCGCTTAAAAGCAGCGTATTTAGAAGGAAATCCTATCTACGTGGATTTTCCTTCGGTACAATCGAACGACACGACTCCGACACTTATAATACCTCATCCGACAACCAACACACACGATGATACTTCGACAGTATCCGAAAATAAACTTAAAACGACGCGTTCTGGAAGAAGGGTGAGATTTCCAGAACATCTAAACGACTATTGCACGTAAGGCACTTCTCGACATTTTATATTATTTTTTAAAAAAAAAACAATTTTAATATGCTTATATATTTTTATTTGTATTTAAAAAAAAAACAATTTTTTTAACGCTATTACGTGTTCATGAGTTTATTTTCCATTTTTTTTTCCGCCGACATTGTGCTTT